CGCCAGCAGTGGAGCGCGCTCACTTAACCACTAAGCCACAGGGCCGGCCCAACTTCCTCCCTCCTCTTGCCCCTCCAATCCTCTCAATACCAGCTACCCCAACTGTTTTCTCAAATGTGAAGCTGACCTGATTACACACTCACGCACACCACCCCCATCCCATATTCTTCAATGTCTCCCTATTGTCCATAAGATAATGGTCACGGTACCATGATTGAGCAGAGTTGAGATGGGCTGCAGACAAGTTGCAGTTTCACCTTTCCAACAGAGTGTCTGTGGCTTGCAGGGTTCTCAGTGCTTAGTCCAAGCTGGCATACTCTCTGCACCCCGTCGGGGCCTGGACCTCCCCACACCCCCTTCAGCACCAGCTCTGGCCTGCCCATGTGCATCTCCTCAGTCCCTTCTGTCTGCCCTCCTCCCTCTTTTCTGCTTGTTTTTCACAGCCTTGGTCCTTGACCTCCCAGGCTAAGTGCATTGCTCTGCTGGGCTGCCAGTCCCAAGTGCTTGTTTCTCTATTTGTGCACACCCGGCACACTGGACTATCCCTGCCTGTTGGCTAGTTTGCTTCCCCAACTGGCCTGGGGTCTCGAAGAGCTTTGTCACCTCTGAATCCCCACATAAAGCACAGTGCCTGTGGGCACCCAGGCAGCCTGGCTAGCTACTAGAACTGAAGAACAGAAAGACAGACAGTGTGGGTGGACACATGGAGGGCCAGATGGACAGACTGTTTCTCAGAGCTGCTGTTGAGAAGTTACCTGCACTGTTTAGGAGGTTGGACAAGATGGCCTCTAATGACCCTTCCTACCCCGAGATGCTATCCTCTTGTCCCTTTTTTTTTCTGAAGACAGCCTCCTTGACTCAGGCATCCTTAATGAGCGTGCTCCTGGGGTCTGGCTGGGACAAGTGCACACAGATGTGCCTTTGCTGCAGGACATGCCCTGGGGCTTGTGTTGGGGAAAGACCTCCCACCATGTGGGGAAGAAGCTAGGACCTACTTGGGGGTGCCTGTGGGGTTTTGGGCCAAGTGTGAGGAAGAAGTTGTCTATGTCCCTCTGGTGTTTCCTCCAAATTGTCCCTAGGCTGGGCTGGGCTGCTTCAGCTGAGATGGGGAAGGGAGAGGCCCTTTAGTCTGAGAACTTCAGGCAAGGAGGTAAAAGGTGGAATTTTTTTTTTTTTAATATTCTTTTTTTTTTTTCTCTTTTTTTTTTGTGAGGAAGATCAGCCCTGAGCTAACATCCATGCTAATCCTCCTCTTTTTGCTGAGGAAGACCGGCTCTGAGCTAACATCTATTGCCAATCCTCCTCCTTTTTTTTGCCCCCAAGCCCCCAGTAGATAGTTGTATGTCATAGTTGCACATCCTTCTAGTTGCTGTATGTGGGACGCGGCCTCAGCATGGCCAGGGAAGCAGCGCGTCGGTGCGAGCCCGGGATCCCAACCCGGGTCGCCAGCAGTGGAGCGCGCTCACTTAACCACTAAGCCACAGGGCCGGCCCAACTTCCTCCCTCCTCTTTTTTTTTTTTTTTAAAATTTATTTATCTTTTTTCCCCCAAAGCCCCAGTAGATAGTTGTATGTCATAGCTGCATTTCCTTCTAGTTGCTGTATGTGGGACATGGCCTCAGCATGGCTGGAGAAGCAGTGCATTGGTGCGCGCCCAGGATCCGAACCCGGGCTGCCAGCAGCAGAGCGCGTGCACTTAACCGCTAAGCCACGGGGCCTGCCCCCAGTGCTGTTCTTGATAAGTTTCCCAGCCCTGACTGCCAGGTCCAACAGGTTTCTAGGCTGATTTGCTCTGTGCTGTCTTTCTCCATGTTGATGCTTTTCTTTTCCTTTGGCATTAATGATGCCAGCTCCTGGCTCTTCTCTCTCACTGGCTTCTCCTTGTGATCTCTCCCTGGCGCTCCCTTAATCATTGGCACTTCCCAGGTTTCTGTCCCATTCCATACCTGTGGAGGGCCCCAGTTCTGGGTAGTTGAATCCCCAACCTCTGTCTTGCTTAGGTCTTTTGCCTGAACTCCACACCCCTGTGTCCACGTGCCTTCCTCTGCACATCCAGTGGGCACTTCATTCCCACATGTCCTCAACTGGAACTTGCTTTCCCACCTCTGTGTATACCCTACCATTGGCCCTAGTCACCCAGGCTTGACACCTGGGTGTCACTCCAGTTCCATCTCCTTCTCCCTTCTTCTCTTTCTGTTCCCTACCCCACATCAGCTAAGTAAGTTCTGTCCCAGATATCTGCCATCAGTGGCCTCATGTAGCATCAACACTCAGGATCACTGCCGGCCACCTCTATCCTAAATTCTTTCTTTCTTTCTTTTTTTTGTGAGGAAGATCAGCCCTGAGCTAACATCTGCCAATCCTCCTCTTTTTGCTGAGGAAGCCTGGCCCTGGGCTAACATCCGTTCCCATCTTCCTCCACTATGTGGGATGCTGCCACAGCATGGCCTGACAAATGGTGCATCGGTGCGCGCCCAGGATCCGAACCCGGGCTGCCAGCAGCGGAGCACGCGCACTTAACTGCTACGCCACGGGGCGGGCCCCAATCCTAAATTCTTTAGCACCCTCCTCTTTACCCTAGCTGACAAGGATCTATCTGAAACACAGCCCGACTGTGGCATCTCTGTGTTTACAAAAGTACTTTTAACAGCTCCCTAAGGCCTCCTGGATAAAACCAGAGCCCCTAAACCTGGCACATGAAGTTCCTTGTGAGCCAGCCCCAGAAATCCTCTCCAGTTTGTTTTTCCTGTGCTTCCCAAGTGTGACCTCCCTGTCAGACCTTTGCAGCAGAGTTGTCACCCTGTAGCATAGACCCTATTGAAGTGTCTGCCTCCTCCTCTGCCAGGTGACCTGGCCTGGGGTGTGGTCTCTGAGCCTGACATTGAGCAGGTGCTCAGCAAGGGCGGGGATGTACGGGGCATCCTCTATGAGACATGGTCTGCCCGCTGGGAGCAGTCTGCTGCCCTTTTGAGTTAGAAGGGCTGTGCCAGTCACCTGCAATGGGCCTTTGGTACCCTGGGCTCAACACTAAGGAATTTGGACCTAGCAGGGGAGACTGACAGACAATGCCAGCTTGGCCTGGGGCAGGGCCTCATCTCAGCTCCTTGGAGCCCCAGGGTGGGTGGTATAGGATCTGAGGAAAGCAGAGGCTAGAGTGGGAGCAGACTGGATCTCTGTGTCCTTGAACATGGCTTTCTTATTTTTTAGTTCTGGAACTCCCCAAAGAGCTGTCAGAAATCTTCGATCCCACACGAGGTAGGGCTGCATTCCTCCTGGGGCTGGGGTAAGGGGCACAGCTCATTGGTCTCACAGCTGTTTTCTTGCCCTTCTGAGGACTTTATGTTGTGCTTGGTACCTGGGCAGAGAGTAAAGTTTCTGATGGGTGGGTGGGTTGGGTGTCTCCTTCATGGGCTTTCCTCCCTTCCCCAGAGTGCATGAGCTCGGAGCTGCTGGAGGAGCTGATGTCCTCAGAAGGTGGGTGGCCCAGGAAGGTGGGGGATGGGTGTGGGCAGGGGGTTGGGTGGCAGCTGGGTTGTGCCTTGGCCCGGGGCCTCAGCCTGGTGCTCTCTGCAGTGTTTGCCCCCCTCCTCCGCCTTTCTCCGCCCCCTGGAGACCACGATTACATCTACAACCTGGACGAGAGTGAAGGTGTCTGTGACCTCTTTGATGTGCCTGTTCTCAACCTCTGACTGACAGGGATGTGCCCTGTGTGGCTGGGACACAGACTGTCTGACCTAGGGGCTGCCTGGGGAACTCCCCCCACCCCACCCCTACACAGCTTGTGAACCACAGCCTTCCCTCAGTGCACAGTTCTGGCCACAACTCCCACTCCTGCACTGGCACCTGTATTGTGCTGGGAGAGCAGTGTAAAAGGGCTCAGCCCCCTCCACCGTGGAGCCAAAGTGTTTGCCTCTCCTTTTCTGGGGCCTTCCCCCACCTTGTGCCCTCCCCGAGCCCTCCCAGAGCCCAGGCTCAGCTGCCACCCAGTGGCACAGAACTGAAGACCCGCCATCACCCTATCGGTCAGCTTGTCCAGCCCCTCCCCCTTCCAGGAGGGAAGCTGGGGTGGAGCTGGGCACTTGCCAGCACCACCCCTAGCCTCCTTCACGTCTCTCCACCCCCTAACCCTACAGCTCCTCCTGGGCCTCTCCATGTGCCCCCCTTGTGCGGGGCCCTCAGCCCTGAGAACGTGTAGGTGTGGGGGTGCTGACAGGAAGGAACAGAGGTCTCTAGCTAGGAATCTGGGTGGGTGAATGCCTGAGGATTGGCCCAACCTCCCGCTGTCCCATAGCCCCCTGTCTTGTTTATTCATTTACCGTCATTTAGAGCCATTTGCAGAGACTTAGAAAGATTTGCAGTAATGAATGGATTCCTATATAAAGATTATTTTTATACTTTTTGCAGCAAAAGGAAATTGTAATATTTGTACAGTGTCCAAGTGAATAAAGACCGTGCCTAAGGCTATCTCTGATCTGGTTCTTTCGGGGCCCCTCTCTGGGACTGTGCTGGATGGGTGGTGGGACTGGGTGGGTCACCTTGCTGGAACGGGAGGTGTGGTGTGGTGGCGCCGGCAGTCTGCCCTCCCCGCCCCCACCTGCCGCACCTTGGGGTGGGGCGGGGCCGCCTCTTGGGGGCGGGGCAGGGCAGGGCAGGAGCCGTCCTACCCTACTACTCCCGGGACTCCAACCCGGAACTAGCCTCGGTTCCCTTGGGAAGGCCGCGGCGCCTGGCCAGGAGTGGGAGACTGGGCCGTGAGTGCGGGCCACGGGGGCCAGGCCGCGGACAGAGGGACGCCCTCCTCGTCCCCAGGGACCCCGGGCCAGGTGCGCCCTCGGCAGGAGATTGCATGGTCTGAAAAGTGCAGGGGCCCTTGCCCCGGCTGGGCCATGGCTCCCCCGCGGAACGTGGTGAAGATCGCCGTCCAGATGCGTGACGCCATCCCGCAGCTCATCCAGCTGGACCAGGTCACCTGGCCCGTCCCGCCTCCATCCACCCCACCGCCCACCTCTGCGTCGGCCCCTTCTCCTCGTTACAGCCCACCCCACCCCTCCCCCAGGATCCTTCTCAACTCCTCCCTATTCTCGGCCCCATGAGTGATCTCTCCACCTGCAGGCAAAGCCCCTGGCCGCTGTGCTGAAGGAGGTGTGCAACGCGTGAGTGCCGGCCTGCCAGGCTAGAGGGTGGGGGAAGAGCAGGAGGGAGGGGGCACCCCCTACCTGCCTCACTGAGCCTCCACTGTCCCCAGGTGGAGCCTGGCTCACTCTGAGCGCTATGCCCTGCAGTTTGCTGATGGGCACAGGAGATATATCACTGAGAATGTGAGTCCCCTCTCTCCCTCCGCCCCCACATTCCACTCTATGACCCCTTCCAACCTTGCCCTGATTTCTTAGTCTCATCCCACTGACTGGAATGTGATCTTTTACTGACTCCCAGATCTTCCCTCATTGACAACCCCAATTAACCAATCCTCAGAGCCCTTCTTGACTTCTCTCCCTTTTCTGCTGTCTTCTCCAGAACCGCGCAGAGATCAAGAATGGCAGCATCCTGTGCCTCAGCACTGCCCCAGTAATGCCTCCCCCGCCCCCACCCTCATTCCCTACCCCTCTGCTATGCCTCCTTTCTGCCAGCCTGCGCCTCTGCCCCAGGTCTGGAGGTCCCAGCAACATCCCCGCAGTGCTCCACCTAATGGACACTCGAGTTCCCACACCTCCAATTCCCACTTCTTACCTCTGCCCAGCCTACTCACCTCTGCTCCTGCCCCCACCCCTGCCAGGACCTTGAGGCTGAGTGGCTGTTGGGTGGGCTGCAGAGTGGGAGTCGTGAAGGGCGCCGAGAATCCCTGCAACACCTCGTGCTGCTGGTCCCAGACATAACCTTTGCCCGGGAGGTCATCAGCCGTGATGGGCTTCAGAGACTAGGCACCATCATTGAAGACGGGGACGAGTGAGCACGGGGCTGTGGTGGACATGGTGGGGCTGGGGGTCCTGATCTGGCCCTGCTCAGCCCCAGATGTCCCCCCAGCCTAGGGGAGGTGCTGGCCCTCGCACTGAGGGCCTTCTTGGAGCTCATGGAGCACGGCGTGGTGTCCTGGGAGACACTCAGCATCCCCTTTGTTAGGAAGGTGGGTGGGCTTTTCTAGGGGCAGCAGGTGGGGGCAGTGGGGTGGTATCAGGGTCTGGCCTTCCATGGTGGTGAGGTGGTGACAACCCCTACTCCTCTTAAAGGTGGTAAGCTATGTGAACATGAACCTGATGGATGCATCTGTGCAGCCCCTGGCCCTCCGGCTGCTGGAGAGTGTGACCTTGAGCAGCCCTGCGCTGGGCCAGCTGGTCAAGAGTGAGGTGCCACTGGATAGGCTGCTGGTGCACCTAAAGGTGTAAGTGTCTGAGGATGGAGTACAGAGGAGGGGAGCAGAGCCAGACCCTGGATGGATGGATACCCCTCTTCTTGCCCCAGGATGAACCAGCAGCTGCAAACCAAGGCCATGGCACTGCTGACAGCTCTCCTGCAGGGGGCCAGCCCTCCTGAACGTAAGGTGAGTGTCCATCTAGTGGCTGGATGGCGGGCAGGAGCTGGTGGGCACTATGCTCCACCCTGGGCCTACAGGGTAAGCACTCATGGTGGGGCTAAATCATCTAAGTTCCCTTCCCACCCACCTCAGCACATGCTTGACTACCTGTGGCAGAGAAACCTTCGCCAGTTCATCTACAAGGTAGAAAAGACTGGGCCAGGCAGACCCCTCCCCACCTCTCCTCTCTCAGTGAGCCTAAGCTCACACTATGGACTGGGTGTCCTGCAGAACATCATCCACAGTGCAGCGCCACTGGGCGCTGAGATGGCTCATCACCTGTATGTACTGCAGTCCCTCACACTGGGGCTGCTGGAGCCGCGCATGCGGATGCCACTGGACCCCTATAGCCAGGTGGGTGCCTTTGGGGTGCACAGGCTGGGGGCAGCTGGCGCTTGGCCTTCAATCTACAATCTTGAATCCCCCAAATAATGACCCCCAGGAGCAGCGGGAGCAGCTGCAGGCCCTGCGTCAGGCTGCCTTTGAGCAGGAGGGGGAGTCCCTGGGTGCTGGGCTGAGTGCTGACCGTCGCCGATCCCTCTGTGCCCGCGAATTCCGCAAACTGGGCTTCTCCGTGAGTGACTCCTACCCAGCTCCCCACCCCTGCCTCAGTCCTGGGCTGCTGCTGTTACAGAGGGCTGGGGCCCTTTCTGAGCTGCCTGTCCCCCTTCCCCCAGAACAGCAACCCTGGGCAGGACCTGGAGCGTGTGCCCCCCGGCCTGCTGGCCCTGGACAACATGCTCTACTTCTCCAGACACGCACCCAGTGCCTACAGCAGGGTCAGTGATGGGGTGGGGTGAGGTACAGCAGGATGCCTGTCTAGGCAGGGTCCCCATGGGCTTAGCCATGACTCATGCTGCATTCTCTGCTCCCACCACTCCAGTTTGTGTTGGAGAACAGCAGCCGTGAGGACAAGCATGAGTGCCCCTTTGCCCGGAGCAGCATCCAGCTGACCGTGCTGCTGTGTGAGCTGCTCCGAGTTGGGGAGCCCTGTGAGTGGGACTGGGTACAGTGTGTCTGGGAACGGGGGACGGAAGGGCAGAGAGGGCCAGGGGCTGCACACACCTTCTCCCTGAGCCCCTCCTGCCCCCCCGCTCCAGGCTCCGAAACAGCCCAGGACTTTTCACCCATGTTCTTCGGCCAAGATGAGAGCTTCCATGAGCTCTTCTGTGTGAGCATCCAGCTGCTGAATAAGACCTGGAAGGAGATGCGGGCCACACAGGAGGACTTTGACAAGGTCAGGGGGGTGGTGTGGGAACAGGGAGATCTGGGCCAGGGCAGGGGGCTGTTCTGGATAGGGGCCCAGAGCTCAGACCATGAGCTGAATTGGGGTGGCCCCAGGTCATGCAAGTGGTGCGGGAGCAGCTGGCCCGCACGCTGGCCCTGAAGCCCAGCTCCCTGGAGCTCTTCCGAACCAAGGTGAATGCGCTCACCTACGGGGAGGTGCTGCGGTTGCGGCAGACTGAGCGGCTGCATCAGGAGGGCACGCTGGCCCCTCCCATACTGTGAGTTGGTGGAGATGGGTCCCAGTCCTAGCCCCCACCTCCCCTGCTGCCCCATGGGCCTTGCCCCAGGTCCTTCCTGGTCAGTGAGTCCCCTCCCCCCACCCAGGGAGCTGCGGGAGAAGCTGAAGCCAGAGCTCATGGGCCTGATCCGCCAGCAGCGTTTGCTCCGCCTGTGTGAGGGGACACTCTTCCGCAAGATCAGCAGCCGGAGGCGCCAGGGTCATTGAGTGGACAGAGGCGGGCGGAGAGTGGCTGGGTTGGGGTCAGGGCTCTTCTCATCACTCCTTTCCTCTTCCCCTTTCTGCCCACAGACAAGCTGTGGTTCTGCTGCCTGTCCCCCAATCACAAGGTGCTGCAGTATGGGGACGTGGAGGAGGGTGCCAGCCCACCTGCCCCAGAGACTCTGCCTGAGCAGCGTAAGGAGGGCAGGGGCAGGGGTCAGACACTTGCTCTCCTCAGACCGCCCCATTCCCCTGGACCACCTGGGGCCCGTGGTCAGCCCAACCTTCTTTCTGCAGTCCCTGTGGCCGACATCAGGGCGCTACTGACAGGCAAGGACTGCCCCCATGTCCGGGAGAAGGGCTCCGGGAAGCAGAACAAGGTGAGTGCAGTGGGGGCCAGGGGCTCCTTCCTGCCTGCCCCTGCCCTGCTGCCTGCTCAGTGTTCCCGGCTCCCTTGCTTCCCCAGGACCTCTATGAGTTAGCTTTCTCAGTCAGCTACGACCGTGAGGAGGAGGAGGCATACCTCAACTTCATTGCCCCCTCCAAATGGGAGGTGAGTGTCTGGGCAGGCTGAGCCAATTTGGGCAGACGGGCAGGGGAAGAGACGGGCAGGCACTCATGCACCTGGCCCCATCCCCAGTTCGACCTGTGGACAGATGGGCTGAGTGCCCTGCTGGGCAGTCCCATGGGCAGTGAGCAGACACGGCTGGACCTGGAGCAGCTGCTGACCATGGAAACCAAGCTGCGGTTGTTGGAGCTGGAGAATGTGCCCATCCCTGAGCAGCCACCCCCCATCCCCCCGCCCCCCACCAACTTCAACTTCTGCTATGACTGCAGCATCGCTGAACCTTGACAGTGAGGTTGGCCAAGGGCCACGGCTGCTGCCACGCTGGTGGCCACAAAGGGTGGAGAAGGTCAGACATCCTGATCAGCAGAGCCTGCAGCAGAAATAAAGTCTGCTTGGGTTTTCGGTACGTGTTGAGCCAGTTCTGAACCTTGTGGGCCAAGCCTGCCTTCAAACTTAGCTGGGGCATCAGAGTAGGGCCACCCCTTGGGGCTGCAAATCTGGGCATCTACAATTGAAGGGCTGTATTCTGAAGGAGGGTGGTGATAGGCTGGCCCCGTTGCCCTTCCCCAAGATGAATCCTCGGCCTCCCTCAGTGCTGGGCCTACAGAGAGGGATGGCTTGTGGTCTGGGGGCACCAGCCAAGGGACGGTTGGGGCTGCCAGCCAGTTAAGGGAGAACTGGCAGGGCAGGAGGTATTGCCCAAAGTGGATGCCTTCCTGGGCAGCATTAACAGAGGCCTAATCTGGGAACCATGTTTCCAGAGGGCTGCTGACAGTCTGAGTTCATTCCTCAACCCTGCTTGGCCCTGCCCTATGTCCTTTGTGGGACTTAGAGGCCCTCTGGTGAGAGGCTTGAAGGGAGAGATGTGAAGCTGGGCCTGCTTTGTGCGGAAGGGAAACTCCATATTCCAAAAGATGTCCCCAGGCTGGTGGGAGGCTATGGTCTGATTCTGACAGGAGGGAATTCAGTGCAGAAAGCCCTGCATTTTGATTAAAAACCAACGCAGTAGCATGGGTGGGGTGGGGGCCACACACAGGCCAGAGCCCCCGGGGGCAGAAGCGGCTAGGTGTTGGGCCCAGCTGGAGGTCAGGCTCAGAGCCTATGGTCATGGACCCCAAGCCTCTGAGGCAAAGAGGAGCACACCAGCCCACAGGACCCACAGGGCAGGCTGAAAGCTGCTGCCACCCTCTGACCTCCATGCCTCTTACTACCTCTCTTTGCCAACGCCTCCTCCAATATCTTTTTTAACAGTGTTAACCATCAACATGTTACCTTGAAAACTGATGGAAATGGCACCTCCTTTGGAGAATGTGTGGAGAAATGTGCTGAGGGAACAATTGTTCTCCCTTCCCCCAGCTATGCTTCTAACTTGGGCATCTTGGCCCCACTTCCTGCATTCAGAGACTTTCCACCATACTTGGAATAGTCTGCTATTGAGTTCAAGGTGGAAGTGGGGGAGTGGGGATCCCAGATGCAGCTAAGCCTCCTGATACTGTCAGTTCTTTCTTCTCAATGTCTCCAGTCCCTTGCCCAGGCCATCACCATCTTGGGAAGAACCTCTTGACTTCCTCCCTCCTCTTTTTTTTTTTTTTTTAAAGATTTTATTTATTT